TTTTTTTTCCCAGAGCATGTTTTATCACATGATCCAAACTGTCCCATGATCCATACTCCGGGGAACACAGCTACCTGCCTCATCTCATTCTTCTCTGCCATGATTGGGGTAAGATCTCGCAATAACAGCATAAGGTTTCTTCACCTCCAGGATCACTGTGTCCTCTGAATTTTTCTCAGCAGGCATGCCCATATACCCTCAAACCACGTCCCCCTATCCTACATGCTGGGTGGCCTGACAGTGGTGTCTACGATGGTGGCAACCCTAGCTGTTTACACCATTCCAAAGCTCTGTGCCAAGAACGCAAGTCCACCAGCATTTAAGCTGGACATGTCTCAACATAGAACCACAGTGCTCACAAAAGCAGTGGCCATGCGGTTAGGGGCTGGGAAGTGTGCCCGGGCATTTTTTGTAGCATACCAGTCAGGAAGCTCAGCACCTATCACTGTGTAGGTGGAAGCAATACAACCATCCACCCTACATCAGATGAGTACCCTCTTTGCAGGTTTGTGATAGGTGGCTAGCTCCTGGAGGCAGCTGGAGGGCCAAAGAAATAAGCAGAAGTCTAAACACAACAAAATTAATTAAGGGAGGGTCAGGTTTCAGATTTTCCTCAGAGGTATGTAGGACTGGTTCTTCTAAGTGTCAGTTGTTGCTTATGGCTAATTCATCCATAAAGACAAGGACTGAGTTTTAAGCCCAAAGGTTGTTCTGTTCATCTTTTTACTGGGTTTTATTCTCCCCAGGAGTTAACAAATCTCCTTCCTGTGTGTCTCTGCTCCTCTGCTGAAAAAAGAAAAAAAAAAAAAAAGCACAGATTTCTGAACTCTGCTCTAGGTTGAATCCTTGATTCCACAATGGCAAACATGGGAAGGAGAAAGCTGGTTGGTGCTCTGTGGTATTCACCTCATGCATAACAGCTCTAGAACACACGTAAGTTGTCTTCACCCTTAGTCATTTCAAGAGTTAGTGACATAGCAGTGATATTGTTTCTTTTGCTTGCTCTGGTTCCTTTGTTCTTGTGGGAGTGGTACTGGATGCATGTGGGCATGGGTGGGTATGGAGGTGACAACTTTGAGGTGCATGGGTTTCAGGGTCACCAGGCTTGCACAACAAACAACTTTACCTGCTGAGCCTTCTTGCCAGCTTTGTATTTAAAAAAAAAAAAACAACAACAACAACAACCAGGGTCTAAGTAGCCCAGGCTGGCCCTAAACTAAGACACAGTTCTTCCACCTGAACCTCCAAAATACTGAGATTACAGGCATGAACCTCTATGCCCAGCTATATAACTTTCTTGGAAGACCAGAGTTATGGAGTCATAATGCAGACTGGGCTGCTGTTGCCACTGCATAGGGACAGGAGAAGGGAGCTCGGGAGGCTTTGCTGCTTTTGAATGAGCACATCGGAGCTTCATGATGACGGGAACATTCTGCTACCAAACCGGACAACCTGAGTTCTGTATCCAGCACCCACACTGTAGAAAGAGAAAACTGATTCCTCTTCTTTTTTTTTTTTTTTAAGATTTATTTATTTTATGTATATGAATGCTCTATCTGCTTTTTACACCTGGAGGCCAGAAGAGGGCATCAGATCACATTATAAATGGTTGTGAGCCACCATATAGTTGCTGAGAATTGAATTCAGGACCTCTGGAAGAGTAGACAGGGCTCTTAACCACTGAGCCATCTCTCCAGCCTGAGAACTAATCCTTGTATGATGTTCTCTGATCTCCACAAATGCACCATGGAGTGCACATGCATTGCAGGGATGAACAAAAATAAAGAAGCAAGTAAATAAATAAGTTAAATAGATTTAATACATAATAATTTTATTTTTCAATAATTATATGATTAGATATTTTAAATAATTATTTAATAAATAAATAAGTTTGTAAGTAGTATGGATTCCAAGGTAAAAGCATAAAATAGCTGAAGAAAAACAGTGTAAAAAGTCTTTTTCAGGAGGCTGGGATTGTAGCACAACTGAGTTTTCATACTGTGCCCTAGATTTGATCCTTGGTACCACATAAATGGCATGGTGGATCATGCCTGTAATCCAAGCATGTAGGAGGTCAAGACAAGAGGACCAAAATTTGATGGCTGGGCTGGGAGATGACTCAGTAGGAAAAGCACTTACCTCACAAGTGTGAAGACCAGATCTCAGATCTCCAGAACCCATGTCATAAAGAGGGTAAAGCAGAGTAGTGTACATCTGTAACCCCAGCGTGCCAGCAAGCAGGGAGCCAGAGTCTGGAGAATCCCCTAAAGCTTGCAGGCCAGCAAGCCTGAATGCACAGTAGTGAGCAGCGGAAGACCCTACATCAAATGAGGGAGAAGGTAAAGACCAACCTATAGCCAAGGTTGACCTCTGACCCCACTCATGCCCTTGTGGCTCTATGCATATACCTGCACTTACACTACACACTCCTACTAAAGTTCAAGGTTATCCTGGGATACATGGTTAGTTCAAGCCTAGCCTAAGATACATGAGACCCTAGCAGAGGAGGAGGAGGAGGAGGAAGAGGAGGAAGAGGAGGAGGAGGAGGAGGAGGAGGAGGAGAAATGGTCAGTCAATAGTGAAAATGTATGCATGCATATAAATGCAGTCATTTTCTCTGCCCAACTCATGACCTTTCTCCATAGCACGGAGCCCCCTCACTGATGAAGATAACATTTCTGGGGAAGAACCAGAAATGTTCTCCGTTCAGAGTCAGCATCCTTCACCTACATCCCTCAGTTTCCAGGCCTGGCTCTCTGGTCCTCTTCACAATACTTTCACTGCTGACTACAGCATACTAGCAGACGATCATAAGGATGTGATGATCGAAGACTGATTAATACGCTTTCAGGTTTCCTTTGTAAATAAGGATTTGCTTCTGTCTTCTCCCTAACCACAAGCAAGCCCATGAGCTGAGAAAGAGCTGGGGAGCCAGAACTTGAGCCCTGGAGAGCAGCTGGGCCAGGAAGCACTCAGATGCTTGGAGTCAGACATGCAATTTCCCTATCTTAGAAAGTATCACATGTCCTGGCTGTTTCCTAAGTAACTTCTGGCTGATGGGTGATAATATTAGAATAAATGAAAAGTTGTTTGTCTCTGGTGGGGAAAAAAATCAGTCTTCAAAGGAATAATAAAATGTTGCTCTGCTAAGCCTCCTTAAATGTGTTTCCATTGAACCATACGATGACCTATTCAATCACAGTCTGATGAACAAGAAGAAAAGCCATGCCTCTGACTTGATGTTGAACCAAGGCAAGACACCTCTTGCCAGTTTCTTGAAGGAGCCAAACATCGTGTCCAGAATGTGACAAAGGTCTTTCAGATATTCTACTAATGGCGTTAGCCAGAAATACCCTCACCTCCTCAGCTGTCCGAAGACAGGTTCTGTTTCACAGCCAACCTAGGAAATCTGTTTGTCAGTCTTCAAAACATATTTATAATCACCTAGAGTCAATCTAATTGCACTGCTTCTCTGAGGCACAGCCGGATTTTGATGCAGAGAGTTAAGCTAGAGCTGGGGTTGTAGCTTCCTGGGACAGTGCTTATCCAGCATGCGTGAGGCTATGGGTACCATGTTCTGAACCTGAAAAAAAAGAAAAAAAGACTGAGGAAGGAAAGCTGGCTTGAGGTAAATATATCCTGTTTAGTGAAGTACTTGATGCAGTTTCAGGCTAAGGCGCAATCGTGCATTCCACAGCTGTCAAAGCCGTGTCTAATTACAATCACCACCCGTACTGATCACCGCCCTGTTAGGAACCCCCAACCACAAATTTATTTTTGTTGCAACTTTATAACCATAATGTTGCTGCTAAGCAGTGTCTCAGTTCCTCAGACCATCGGAAGTCTGTGTTTTCCGATGGTTGTGACCCACAGTTGACACCCTCTGATTGACAGCTTGACTTCAGGACTCTGAAATACTCGTGTGTTAGCATGAATACTGAACAAGAGTATTTGATTTGACATAATTTAAGTGAATCACAGAAAGTAATCTGCCACAGGCAGGGGCAGGCAGCTCATTGGTAGAGCACTTGTCTCGTATATATGAGGTCTTAGGTTCGATCCCCTGGACCACAAAGAGAGATTGCCACCAAGAATGTACAAAGTCATCATTAATGCTTGAAATACAGTACTTTTATGTATTAATACTTAACAGTATCTCAGAAAGTAGGATTCTCAAGACCTTGTGAAAATACACAATACAGTTTTGTTTTTTAAAAAGTTAAAGCAAGCGGGGATGGGAGTGGAGGGCTGAAGAGGAGTGACCAGGAAGGGAGACAACATTTGAAATGTAAATAAATAAAATAACCGATAAAAAAAAAGTTCAAGCAATTGGGGCAAAGGCTAAAGAAGGACAGAA